GTAGGTATGGCAATTGGGGCAGGGACAGATGTGGCAATAGAAGCTGCTAACTACGTACTGATGAGAGATAACTTGGAAGATGTGATCACAGCCATTGATCTTTCCAAAAAGACCTTCTTTCGCATTCGATTGAATTATGTATTCGCGATGGCATACAATGTTGTTGCTATACCTATTGCTGCAGGAGTTTTCTTTCCTTCTTTGAGGATCCAGTTGCCACCATGGCTTGCTGGTGCATGCATGGCTATGTCATCTGTTAGTGTGGTATGCTCTTCTCTGCTTTTGAGAAGATATACAAGGCCCAAACTCACCACAATACTTGAAATTCTTGTAAATTAACCATTATTCAAACAGAGAATCTTCTATGGGTACAAATCAATTTGATGACCCATTGTAATTGTAGCTGCCAATTCGTTGTAAAGGTTTTTGAAATTGCATAGCTCTTCCTGTCCACACACTCAATTTCACATGTTTCTGTATAGATTCTTAGTCATTTACGGGTTTTTATATATTAGCTGTTGGTCATGTCTTGTATAAATTGATCAATTTTCTATGGAAAAGGTCAAATCTGTGTTTAATGAAAAAGTAGAAGCATTGCTGTGATTCATAATCTTTAAGTAGCATTAACCTTTCATTAACTTTTCAGTTCATTGCTTGACCTTCAACATATTGCCTTGACATTTCATAATTTGTATTAAAATCTAGGCCGCAATTTGGAATCAAACAATGCTAATAAATTGGGAAAAATGACTAATTTAAGACAAATTATCAATTTAGTCTTGTAAAAGATAAAATGTTGATTTTAACTTTTGAAGGTGTAAAAAAGGTGTGCAATTACGACCTATTATTAGTTTTACATATTCAACAACTAAATCTGATCTATTTTTTCATAGATTAATTAACGGATCAGCTAACTTCTCATATTTTTCTAATTAAGTATAAAATACACTTATATCTAATTAAGTATAAAATACACTTATAATACTACGAAGGAGGTGAAGAAAAAGTTGTTTTATATATGTTAATTTGTACTCAATTCACATGATCATGATATTATAGTTTCCATGAGAGAACTAAAATGAATCAATTACTTAATTGAATATCAACGTGACTTAGTATATCTCCTACTAGACCTCCTTGACGTTTAGGACTCACTGTTGAGTTTGGTAGTTAAATGTATATAAGAAACCAAGTTGTTGATAATCATGTAGTGTTGAACCTCGTACCTGATCCATGACTACTAATGTAAGATATAGATGTTGAAAGACCAACATCGACTAGAGATAAGATAATTTAAAATATATAAGTGAGTGCAATCCTTATCTTACGAGCCAGTTTGTGGGGTTGAGTTAGGCTTAAGTCCGCTTCTTAATATGGTATTAGAGTCAAGTTAGAGTTTATCGTAGCGAGATTTGTTGTTTGTTGGGCATATTGTTTCACTCGCTATCGAACCATCTATTATTGTCTAGTTTCACGCTTGAGATGTATAACCTCGACGTGACGGGGTGTGTTGGAAGTCTCAGATTGACTAGAGATAAGGCCAATTTAAAATATATAAGTGGGTGAAAACCTTATCTTACAAGTCGGTTTTGTGGGGTTGAGTTAGGCTTAAAGTAATTGGGTTGGTTTAGTAAAAAAGCTATCAAGATTTTATTGTGTTGTTATCCACCTTATTGGTGAAGAGAATATTTTTTGTTGATCTTTAAAATTTACAAGAGAACTTCTATTGTATTCATTAATTATTATTAGTGGAAGTTTTCTTTCATATTAAAGTTTTTTCATGTTACAAAGTTTGGTGTCTATTGATTTCTCTTTTCTTTTTTGTACATCTCATTATTTTGCATATTATTTATGTAGAGAAGATTTATTTGGGTTGCTTCCGCTTGTTATTTTTTTTTATCTTTCCAACATTTGGTATCAAAGACGAATGTTTGTCTTGATGACCAACTCACACGAGTCCATACTCCTGATGGAGGTTCAACAAGTGTGTCTGGTTATGATAAACCATATACAATTGTCGCAACCGGAATCGCGACTGGACGACGATCCAAAAAAAGAACGGGTTTTGAAAAGAGATTTGGAGTCGCCACCATAGTTTATTCTGAAAAACTACGGAAAAACCATAAAAGGATAAGGCATGGTCTACAAGAACCAGATCTGGGTTCGGGAGTCGGTTACGTGTAGGGAAGGTATTATCATCCTACAACGTCTGCCCTAAGGCAGTACCTTTAACTAAATACGCGAATATGATGTGGTTTTCATAATGTTTAACTATCCCCTAAAATAAAACTCTAAAGAAACAAATATATTTTTTAATTTTTTGGGCCCGACAAGGATTGACCTTGCTCCTACGTATTCTCATTCAGAACGAGAAATCAGGGTTACGTAGTTCTTTCGAAACTGAGAAGTTTGTTTGGAAATTGTTTGAAAATTTGTTTGGAAATGATTTTGGATTTTTGGGGAGTGAAGGAGTTTGAGGTTAGGCCGTGGTCATGTGGTGTTGGAGATGAAAATGAAGAAGAAAGGGATGAAGATGATAATGGGGTTGTGCATGAGAGATATCAATTTGTAGGTTTGGGTTCTACAGAGAGAGTACTGGTCTCTAATTGTTGAAGACCGTGAGGCGTGGTTTTGGGTTGTTGGGAACGGATGAAGGAGGGTACGAAAGCAAGCCAGAAATAACAGAAATATATATCCCACTATAATTACATATTTAGTCCAAACATGAGCAAACAAACCATGCTAAGTATTATCAAAACAAATGGAAACCAATATCAACCCCATATAGACAGACAACGACCATGACCCAAACATTCATAGCATATGAGTAATTTAAGAGTGAAGACTTACTCTTAGCTTCTACGTTTTTTTTCTTCTCGGAAGCCCTTGTAGCACTTTTCTTCTGATTAAACTTCACTCCTTTTCCTTGCTTCGTAAGTGCCTGCGAGCTACGACAATGAAAGTGCTAACGAGAGTCGATTCTGGTTGGTGGTGAGGGTCATGTTGTGTGAATGGGGAGGGATCAATTTTTCTTTTTTTTTTTTTCTGTGAAAATGTTTCTGGGCTTTCCCTCCTGCTTGGTGGATACTTCCGTTCCTAGCGTCGTGTGAGAGTCCCCCAGAGTTAATGATGATCGTGTTCAAAAATGGCTCTCCCCCCTGAGTCCTCTTTGTTCTCTTTTCCTTTGCACCAGGTTCAGCCACTGCCACGCTGCCATTCAGCCACTCTATCTCCTTTTTTCTGCTCTCCATGGTTAGGCCAGACAAGCCACTCTATTTCCTTTTTTCTGCTCCTCATGGTCAGCCAAGACATTTCCACCTCTAGTAATCAGGCCAAGATAGTGTTGGGTTGTGCATGGCTTACCAAAAGATTCTCATCCAAATATGGGAGATAACGTAAAAGGAAAAGGAAAACTGGAAAACTGATAGTGAATCAGTTTTGACTCTTGCCAGGATCGTGTTCTACCTTTATGTTTTGTTTCTTTCCTCTCTTTTTTTTAACATTTGACAAATGAATTAGAGTAAAAGAACATAAAAATAAAAATAAAATAAAATAAAACAGCCTAAAATAAAATAACTCTAAATGAAAAATTAGAAAAACCAAGAAATAAAATAAAATAAAATAGAACAAAAATAGAATAAAATACAATAACTCAAAATAACAAAATGACATAAAATAAATTCAGAATAAAGATAAAATAAACTAAAATAAATAAGATAAAATAAATTCCATTATTATTTATTTATTTACCCGGACGAAATTAGGTGTTGACAACAATAAAAGAGTACTTGTGGTTTAAAATATTTTCACTCAAGGAAAAGTAACAATGTAAAAGGACTTAAATTTGAAAAGAAGATTGTTAGAAATTCAAATGTGAAAAAGTTAAACATCATCAAATAAATAAGACTCGTAAACTTATTACTTTAAAATTGTCAACTTATTATTATACCATGTTACCACTTGTTGGATGCTCTCCTCAGATTTATTTAAGAGAGTCTCCATGTGCTTTTTGATGGAGGTTGTAATGGCGAATGGATTTAGCATCTTTGGGTGTGAAAATATTGAGGTTTACATCTGGCTTCAAGTCAATACATGTACTTTAATAGAAAATAAAGATATCCAACATATGAACCTATGAGGTAGAGCGATGGTAGCTTGGACTCACTGATAGAAACAAAGAACAATTCTACTTATAAAAGCTCTTTAACACTTAAATCAATATAAATAGATAAATAATGTAAAATTATAAAATAATATTGCATATTGAGTAATAATTCCTATAATAAAAAGATATATTTATAAATCTTGTGAGTCCATAAAGAATATATTAACATTCTGTTAATATAATGATGGTTTATTTTTAACTTAGTCTTATATAATAGTTCTTATCATATGTTTGGTAGAAAAGGTAATAAAGAAACAAAGCATATGAATAGAAAAGAAATAATAAAAGATATATTTAAATAAGGGTTAAATATGCTTTTAGTTCCTCAACTATTAAGTGATTTTAATTTTAGTCCATCTTTCAAATTTTGGTACACTTTGAACCTTGTCCTTAAGGAAACTATAATGTTTTGTCCTCCAAAACCAACGGCGTTAAAATTAGGCCGAGCTGGCTAACGTCTGGCCACGTGTGATGACATGTTTCCTTGCTACGTTTGCCACATGTGATTACATGTTTGATGACATGTGGTTAATGATTAAATCAGATGAAGGAAATTAGGGTTCTTAGTTAAATTGGGATTTTTTGACGCGAATCAAAACTAGGGTTGGTAATTGTCTTTTTGGTTCAAGGTAAATCGCGATTACGGTTCGTGAGTAAGTTTGTGTTCCATCAATTTGCTTGAGTGCTTGTTGTGGGTCCATGTTGTGGGTCTAGTGGTTTTTACATTCGGTGTCAAAGAAACGCGATTCAAAGAAGGTAATTTTTAACTTTTGGTTTGGTTTACTGTTGCTTTGTTTTGGGTGTAAAATTTTCATGTTACAATATAGGATTAACAATGGTTTTTGACGTTTCTCTGCATCACATGGGGAAGTTCATGAAGAATAACAGACTACAATATGTGAGAGGAGAAATACATGTTATAAAAGGAATTGATCCCAACAGGTGGTCTTACTTTGAAGCAGTGAGATTTGTTAAAGAATTCAAATATGATATAGAGTTCAAGCTATGGTGGAAGGGGTTGAAACAAAAGCTGATGAGCAATCTGAGAATACTCAGTAATGACAGCGAAGCAATGTTGTTGGCTAACTACGCAGAGGAAAATAATGACGTGGTTGAAATCTATGTCCAACACGTTCCTAGTGAGGCAGTTGAAGTTAAGTTTCTTAGTTTTGGTGAAGAGGCAGATGAAGTGGACATACAGGAGATGGAGGAAGAGGTGAATATGGGTGACGAAGAAGAGGTTATTGTGGATGAACAAGACGCTAATGTTGGTGAACAAGATGCTAATGTGGATGAAGAAGATGTTTATGTTGGGGAAGAAGATGGTTATGTGGATGAAGAAGATGCATGTGTTGGTGAACAAGATGACGTAGTGGATGAAGAAGATGCTTATGTTGGTGGGGTGGAGGGGAATGTGGAAGTAGAAGACGTCCTAATGGATGACCAAGAGGAAGAGGGGAATGCTTAAACGGTTAATACCGTTCGGTCTCACTTCCCCCTGCCTTTCTTCTCCTCTCATACACTTTTCTACCCCTATCACATTACGTATAATTTGATTATGTATTAAAAGATTATGTGATTTGTTTGCAAGGATTAATGACAGTATTTGAGGAGATTTTGAATGGGGTGGAACACAGGCTGTGTTTAAGGCATTTGTACAACAACTATAAGAAGAAATTCGGTGGAGGCCTTCTCATTAAAGACCTTATGATGGGGGCTGCCAAGGCAACATACTTTCAGGAGTAGGAAAAAAAAATGGGTGAGTTGAAGAATGTGAATACTGATGCTTATAATTGGTTAATGACAATTCCAACTAAATGTTGGTCTAAACATGCATTTATTTCTTATCCTAGATGTGATGTGTTGATCAATAATTTGTCTGAGTTATTTAATAGTACAATTTTACTAGAAAGAGACAAACCTATAATTACTATGATGGAATGGATTAGGTCATACATTATGAGTAGGTTTGCAACACTTAGAGAAAAAGTAAACACATATCCTGGTTATGTTATGCCTAAACCAAAAAAAAGGCCGGATAGGGAAGTTAAAAAGAGTGGGAATTGGCTTCCAGTTTGGGCAGGGGTGCAAAATTTGAAGTCACTCATTGCTTTACAATGGACAAGTTTGTAGTTGATCTAAGTAATCATAGTTGTAGTTGTTACTTTTGGGATTTGGTAGGAATACCTTGCAGACATGTTGTTGCATATATTATAAATTACAAAACCCAGAAGATTATGTTCATCCATATTACAAGAAACATGCTTATCAAACTTGTTATGCACCTTAAATAATTCCAATCAATGGACAACAACTTTGGCCTACATTCGACTCTGCACCACTACTACCACCCACTTATAAAACACCTCTTGGGAGGCCAAAAAAATTAAGAAGAAGAGAATGTGATGAATATGTAAGCCATTCAAAGTTGTCCAAGAAAAATATTGGTATGAAGTGTAGTAGCTGTAATGAATATGGACACAATGTAAGAAGTTGTAAAAAGGGGCAGAAAAATAAGGTAATTCTTCTTGGTGATGTCATTTACAAGTTGAGTTATTTACAAGTATGTGAATTCTAACTACCTTACTCCTTTAACAGACCACAAAGGGAGCATCTGGAAGAACATCAACAAGACAAACTTCAACTACTGGACCATCTCACAAGGTCCAAGAACATCAGGAACGGGAGCTGCCACAGATGTAGGGGCTGCATCAGCATCACAACCTGGAGGGGCTACAACTATGCGTGAAGGGGGAAGAAGAACATCCACAAGACTACTGGTTGCACAAATTCTAGGGTCTCAAGCTAGTAGCAATTGAATTTCTAGTGTAGGGCATGTGATTTTTGTAATGCTTTAATGTACTGAATGTGACCCACTTAGGGATACCATTAGTAGTGGGCACAAGAATATTGGACCACTTTTTTGTCTTGTAGTACCACATGCAATGTTAATTAAACTGCTAAGGAACCACTCTTTATTGTTCAATGACTTTTTATTGTTCAATGACTTTTTATCGTGGAGTTATTTTAATTGTTCACAGTCTATTTCAGTCATTGTGCCTTAAATTGGTTGTTGGAGTTGTTATTTTGAACGTCTTAGGGGAGTTCATATCTCATAAATTGTGAATATGACTTGTAAGAACCCCTATTGTTTGTTAAAATTCCAGGTTGATCAACCAAGTCCAGGTGGTGCTTTCTGGTATCGTATTTGGTATCAGATAAACTTACAACCACTACAAATGCACATACTTCCTTCTAAGGGCATAATTGAACTCAACTTGCAATATTTTATTGAATTAAACACTTCAAAGTTCTGCTACAATACAACATTACCAATTTAATTACAGTTTATCTTCAACAAAAACATAATACAAAACATCATTGTTAATGCCCATGACAATACAAAGAAGACAAACATCGTTTTCAATTTTTTTCTCTCTTGCTCTAATTTCCTCTTCAAGTTCTCGTTCTTCTTCCTTAGATCCAATACAACCTTATCCTTTTCAATACAGACTTCAACTTCTTCACTCTTCCTTTTTAAGCTTCCTTGAATTTCAGAATCTCCTTCATCAACCCATTCAAAGTAGTTACAGTTTGAATTACTCTGCAAACAAATTACAAATCATTAATAAAAACATCATCACAATAAGTAAAGCATTTTCTCACTTACTGCCCCATTTCTACATCTATAAAACAATATCCCTTTGTTCTTCAATGTAGTTTCCTTCAACAACAATCTTTCCCCAAAACCACAAATTTTTGAAGCTAAGTGAGAGGAGGATCCACATGTTTGGGACATTCCTGAACTAATGCTCCTTCGCGTGCAACCTTCCACTATTAGATTTCATTGCCTTCAACAGTGATTTCAAAAGTAAAGGAAGTTGGTTCCCTTTAGTCCCAACAAAACCCTATATCCCAAATTCATCCCTCTATTCACACGAAAGACAAAAATGAACTTACATGACCAAGTAGACCAATGCTCAAGAAGACAAAATTCAACCTTTTGTTCTTCATCCTTCTTTCCAACTTAAATGATGATCTCGTCTTAGATCTTCACCCTTCATACCACACTTTTAAGCAAACTTTACCAATCAAGCTAATAAAGCAATGTTATGACTTTGCATTGAAAAATACCAACGTGGAAAATGTTACCAAGGAAAGATTTCATCACATGTGGCCAAACGTTAGCCAGTTCAGCCTATTTTTAACACCATTAGTTTTGAAGGACGAAAAATTATAGTTTCCTTAAGGACAATGATCAAAGTTTACCAAAGTCTGAAAGAGAGACTAAAACTAGAATCGCTTAATAGTTGAGGGACTAAAAACATATTTAACCCTTAAATAAATTTTATATATAATTAAGTGAAAAGTTCGAAAATTATTTTCTTAGGATTATTAATTTTAAAATAAACAAATAAATATTATTATCATAAATTCATATGATTTTTATTTATTAAATTATTATTTTTTATTGGGTTAAATATGTTTTTGGTCTCTGAATTATCATGCATTTTTTGTTTAGTTCTTATTCCAAACTTTGCTTCATTTTCATCTCTCTCCTTAATGAAACTATCGGATTTAGTCCCCGAACACCAACGACGTTAATTTTTGTATGACCTGGCTAATAGTGTTCCACATGTGATGACATGTGTACAATTTTTGGATGTTTTTTCTAAGATTGAAAGTTAGCTTGTTTTAACTTAAGCTCTTAGGGTTCTTTAGGTTCTTTACTTTAACCGAAACATATCACCTAAGCTGTGTGATTAGAGGTGTGCTTGGTGTGCAGTTCGTGAAACAAAAGATCCGCATTTTACCTTGGAAGAAACCCGAAGAGGAAAAGGTTCAAGTTGGAATTGATCTTCTTTTGGATGATACATAAGGAAGATGATTTTTTTGTTTTCATGGGAATTGAGGGATTGGGGATAGAGGGTTTGACCATGTACGTAATTTACTTTTGAAATCATTGTTGTAGTGAAATGAAATATGACAATAAAGGATTTGGTTGCACTCATAGGAGCATTGATTCGAGAATGTCGCAAACATGTGGATCCTCTTCATAGTTAGCATCAAAATTATGTGGTTATGGGGAAAGATTGTTGTTGTTGAAGGCAACTACTTTGAAGAACAAAGGAAGATTATTTTTTATATGTAGAAATTGGACAGTAAGTGAGAAAATACTTTACTTATACTGATAAAGTTTTTATTAATGGTTTGTAATTTTTATTGGAGAGTAATTCACATTGTAACACTAGTGCAAAATTGGCTTTTACCGTCCCCCCATAGACGTCCGTTCACAAAAGGCCCAATGTAAATAATTGAC